GGGACATAATTACGGATTATAATGACTTACACTGTCTTTTTACACGTTGCGTTGCATCGCATCGCATCGTGCCGCTTAAACATAAAACCATGTCTGCATTTGTGATCGGAGAAATCACAAACAACAAGTGCTACTCTACACTGCTCAAAACTCGCGTTTGAATCATCAGTGGCAAATTCTTTAAATATAAAAAACGTACTTACAGTCTGTGAGTCAGAACAGTGAGTGAGTGAGCGGTGGCCGGAGGCCTAGTGTGACCGGCGGACTAGAGTGAGCAGAGGCCGGCTTGAGTGAGCAGAGGCCGGTGGGCTTGAGAATGGCGCGGCCGGCGGATTCGACGAAGGAGCGTCCGGCGGGCTTGCGGCAACCACATGTGACGACCCCGGGCTGGACTCCGCTTCGTACACGGTGAAATCCGATCCGGTGATCTACAGCATGAAGTTGATGTATTTCCTCAGCGACCAGCACGGATCAGCTCCAGGCATGACAAAGCGGATATTGTCCTCTTTTGGAAGGTCAACCAAAGTAGTTTCACTTTGACAACGAAACACAGCGCCTTCACGACATGGCGGCGGCGGCAACAACAATACTACAGCGAGAATAAAAGTTACACCTTCTTTCTTTGCGTGAACATTTGGATGGCGTTATGCAAATCTTCCCACATCGTGACGTAGACATGTGGGGGTGTGTTAGAACGAGCCGTTTTAGGTAGGCGTGGTTGACTCTTAACTTTTATAAAGAATATCTCTTTGGATTTGAGACTTTAGTCTTTGCAACTTTACAGATCTTCTTTATGCACCAAGAGCTTGTAACACTGCAAAGACAAAGGAAAAATTGAAATCGCATCATATGACCCCTTTAACAAAAACTGCCAAATCTTTTTTATATTTATATAACTTATTTGTTTTTATTTGTGTTTATTACTAAATATATTTGATTAATTTATTACTGTGTGAACTTTGATTTTGGTTTTGATGTTTCAGTAAAATAATTTCAGTGCATCACTAAAATATGATATTTGCAGAATAGAATATATTCTTTACTTTGAATAATATATTTAAAAAATAATGATTGAGATGAAAATATATTACAGTATTACTTTTTACTTGATGGTTACATCACATTACCACAGTAAACTACTGTTAAAAAGTATAATAAATTGCATTGAGAAGAAAAACTGCAGATGATATTAAGACTTGACTTGGACAAGTAAATAGCCACCTAGGCACCACAAGGTAATCCTTAGCAGAAGCTTTAGTTTTTTTTTACTCATCTCATCTTCCCTCAAGCCATCACACAAATAGTGGCTCTGGTTTGTCTCATTATGTGGTGGTCCTTTTCAAATTAATGGTCTCCAACCAACACAGAAGAATATTAAACTGACAAAGGCAGGGGCACCAGAAAAAAAACACAATTCTTTTGAGGAACACACAAGTGGAGAGCATTCCCTCACTCTGAAAGCAGAATAATTAGCCCTCCACCACACTGTGGTCCTCTCTGGAGACAGATATCGGCCCGATTTAAACACTCAGCTGGAGGCCGAGGGAAGAGACAGTACTCACAAATAATTTATTCACAGTTTTTGGCTCAATTTAGATCCATTAAGGACATTTTTAGCATTCACAAATAAGACTGTCATAGCAGGCTTTCCACCACACAATCTAGGCTCTAGAACTTTTCCTGCGTATGTAGCAGTTTCTTCACTGCCTGCTGAGTTAGCTGTGTCAGGAGACAAAAAAGAAGGTCAAGGCCCAGTAAATGTAAGCCTTACGCCTGGAGTACCTGCTGCTGTTTTTCTTTTCAACATGAGAAGTAGGTGATGGATCACTGCTGAATAACTGTAGCTTTGCTGCTTTAGGTCCGAGGCCAACGGAGTCCTTGAAACACTTAAAGTTTGACTGTATGAATGATTTACAACGGTGTAGAAAAACGTTGTTCATTTCTTTTTTTCTTGCTTTCTTCCTTGTGCTTTCCGCAGGGCTGCCTGCCACTGGTGCTGATGTTTGATATCAAAGAGGACATTGAGGTGGAACCGCAGTGCATTACTTCCCTAATGGAACAGCTTGATGTGTTCATTAGTGTCAAACCCAAACCCAAGCAACCCAGCAAGGTTTGCACCCTCACACTATTTGCATGACCCAAACTCGACCTTACATATGCAACATATATCAATTATGGTGGTGGACACTTTTAGATGTTACACTTTGAGCTTTTCTCAGAACTCACTTTTTGTTTTTGAGCCATTTGTGCAATGACTTTTAATCAACAAGGCGATTTTTAGTGGATGAATGAAGTCCGTTCTCCTCAAGTTCACACACACAGTTGTTCACAGTTATAAATTTAAGAGTTTTTACTCTAAAATTATATTAAATGCAAGGTTAGATCTATTACAGTTATTCGCCAGATAAAGGAAAATTATTATTAACCAATTTACAGGTTTTTGCCATAGCGTTGTAGGGCCAGATTTACTAAACAGGGCAAATTAGCTGATGGGAGGGGAAAATTCTGCGGGTGAATTACTAACAATGCGCACATTAAAGAACACATTTCCATAATGACCAGCGCAATTTACCAAGAGCAGCGTAAATTACCGCCTGCTTTAAGACATGCTTTTTTTTGCCGTTAAATAATGGCGCAAATACCAGTAATTTGATGAGCGCAAACGTTATTAAATCACGTTGAGTAATTAATTTTAATACTCTCCTCCCGTAAATTTTGCGTCTGGAAGGGAAACTCCTACAAATGCATATTCAACAAGTTCAGGCGCAAAAGGCGTGTCCACGCCTTTTCAGCGCTAATTCTTCACTGCGCGTCTTTAGTAAATCATGACAGTACTATTTAACACCAAAAGATGGTTTGCCCTGGCGCAAGCTGTTAGTAAATCTGGCCCTTAGTCTTTCATCATTAAATTATATCTTTGAAAAAATTGCTTTTATAAAACGGATAGTTCCGGTCCTTGATTCTGATTGGCTGAGCCATGTTCGAAGCTGTTGTAAATTACTCTACAAACATACACCTTTGTTTACTTCTGTGTGTTGCTTGGCAACCACTTTGTTGCTACCACAACTGATTCTGAGGAACTACATTGTTTGGTGGAAGAATACTCTTTTTATTAATATCATTACACTTTATTTGCTCTGTTTTATTTTGTGAAACCTTACTACGTATATGGAATAACCGTTTTATAAAAGCAATAAGCACCGTGAAGCTGTGGTTTACAGTGAATTTATAACAGTTAAGGGGGTTTTAGGCACAATGCGAAGCGGAACGACGCCCCTTAGCTGTTATAAATTCACTGTAAACCACGGCTTCTTGGGGCTTATTGCTTTATATATATTTCAAATAAATGTTTTTTTTTTTTTTACTTTATATTCATGAAAGAATCTTGTATAGCAGTTTCCACAAAACTATGAAACAGCATATTCAACATTGATGATGATAATAAGAAATGTTTCATGAACACCAAATCAGCATATTAGAATGATTTCTGAAGCATCAGGTGACACTGAAGACTGGAGTCATGGAATTAAATTACATAATAAATTACATTTTAAAATATATTCACATAGAATACAGTTTATTTTATATTTCACAATATTACTATTTTACTATATTTTTGATTAAATAAATCTTTGGTGAGCATAAGAGACTTTCAGAAACATTATAAAAATCTTACCGACCACAGTAGTTCCTGTAGTGTAATATAAAGACATTCATACATTTTTAAGTGTAGATTAAGTCTCCAGCTTTGTGATGCCACCATGTAAGATACCTTGAATCCTCAGATCAAGCATTAAGGCCTAGTTCTTTCAGAGGCTTAAAATTAAGACGCCTAGTCTTGTAAAAGTAATGTATGGAACATATAGGATTTGTGGGTGGCTTACTAGCAGGATGTGGAAACTGGGAACGCTTCACGTCATTGGTCATGGTCAAGGATGAAATCCTATCCTGTGTTTTAAGCTGAATTGGAGCACTGTAAATTATCACTCTGTTTTTCCATTTCAGTGATTTGTGTTGATGCCTCTAGCTTCTCTTCTTTCACTCTGCTAATAGTTTGCTACAGTAGTAGCCTTGACTAATATATACAGCACATATGCTAAGGAGGAAGTACTGTATATACTACCAGTTGAAAGGGAAATATGAGAACATGTAGAATTTCAGTACATTCACAGAAAACCTCCACTCTCAGGTTTAGTTAAGTTCAGCAAGTTAACCACTAATAGATCTTTACAACCTCAAACTCATATTCCATGAATCAAAGGGATCATGAGAAATAAAAGTTCCAATGATCTTTTGAAATAAAATAATTTGATGTTAAACGAAAACATACTGAAATCAGAACTTCCTTCCAAGTGAAACTAAGACCATGCATTGAAACTAAAAGAGCAGAAGAATTAATAATGAAAGTGAAATATGGTAAGGTTCACCAAACCATGTGCTGTTTCTTGCTGTGTAGCACCTTCTGCTCTGCAGATCCTTTAACATCTACAATAAGTGGACCTCAAGGGCAAAAATAATGTTTCAAATCATGAATGAACTCTCTTTAAAATGAAACACCATCCACATTATATTCATAATGATGCCATTCTGTTCTACAGAGGCAAAATGTACTGATTATACCAACACTAGATGAGTTTTTGGACTCGTTTTCTCACTCTGTTTTCTCTGAATCTGAGCACAGTTCAGCCCAAACCATCTGTCACTCGACATATCATACGCAAGATGAAAATCCAAAAGCTAAACACGTAAGAATAGTGCATGTTTACACAAAATAAAATAAAAAACAATTGAAAATCAGCGCAGTGGAATGCAAAAATATGTTCTGTGTGAACGCCCCCTTAATGCCTGTTTAGACTAAGAATGATAATTATAACAATAACTAAATTATCATCCACACCAATGCATGATAACATTCTCTTTATTACAAGATTGGCAGTCAATGTTTAGATCATTCATCAGTTGGAAAAAATCACTTTGAAAGTGATTCCAAAAACATTATTCATCTGCGTCAATATCGATATAGTTTAAATAGAGAATGGTTTTTAAAACTTTATCTTTATTGTTATCGTTAAAGTTAACGTCTTTGGTGTGAATGGGACTTTACTGTCTTTGTGACAATTAATTATTCTATTGTTGATAAAACTTGTTCTGCTGGACTCTGCTGTTGTTGTTTTTTGAATGACACCAAACAAACACTTGCGTGATCCTAAAATATAGCGCCTACTAGTGGACAGGAGCTGATTTCTAAACTCTAAATCTCTTTTTCTCTGGGCTGTCAGTCAGTGATAGTGAAGAGTGTGGAGAGGAATGCTCTGAACATGTATGAGGCCAGGCGTTATCTGTTGGGTTTGGAGAGCAGTGGTGTATCAGTCCCCACCAGCAGTAACAGCAGCAGTCCTCCGTCCACCCCTGCTCCACCTCCACCTCTCAGCTTCCCCGTTGGCCTTGACATCCTGGCCTCTGCTGGCCTTGGCCTCACCAGCCTGGGTAAGAAAAATCAACTTGTAATCAACTTGAGTTTAATTAAATAAATAAATCGGATTCAGTTCCTGAATCTGTTTTTTGTGGACTGATACAGACGTACATTTTACAGCATTCAAAAATCCAAAATGCAGAGGTGTGTGAACAATTCAAAAAGCAATGTGGAACATTATTGTCAGCTTCACTTAATGAGGTTATGTAACATACTCCCAAGAGACTGTTAAATATCAAGCGTAGCGTTAGTTCTGGCAGGACACGTTAGTCAAGCTCGCATCAGCTGACTCTCAGCTGATCCCCATCTACCTATGGGAATACGACACCTATTTAAGCATTCATATATAAGGTCCCTCAGTATTATCAGCAGTTTTCGCATTGCTCAATAGCTAATTACCCTCCTCCATCCCCAACTCCTCCTCTGTCAGTCATGATTCAGCCTTCTGATTCTCCTTTGAATCAGACTAATTATAAAATGTGTACATAAAATTACTGAACTTTAACAATATCTGCAATACATTTATGTTGGTTCTGTTCTGTTTACCCTGGCGGTTATTGCTGCTCTCCCTGCTCTCATCCGTGCTAGGCTGCATGGATGCACAGGGAGTTCTTGCCCAGAACAGAGCCATACTGCCAATCCAAAGTGTATGCTAATTGTCAATCATCTTTGACGATAGTGGTCCTGACAGAAATGAAGATTTTGGAAGCAGAAAAAGATACGGGAACTAAATCCGTTATAATTTCTGTCTCCCTGCTCAAATATGACTAAAATTAAAAGAATTTAGTCAGAAGTCTAAATCACTAGAATTAGATTAAGATTTGTTGTCACAATGAACACTACATTAGCTGAACAGCTGAATGAGATGTACTACTTGCACTGTAAGTGCTTTCAAAAATGAATGTTTGTTGAAAATGTTCTCACCGTCAGGCCATACAAAATGTGCATGGGTTTGTTACTTCATCTGAACAGATTTGGAGAAATGTAGCAATACATAATTTGCTCACCAATTAATCATCTGCAGTGAATGGGTGCCGTCAGAATGAGAGTCCAAACAGCTGATAAAAACACCACAATAATCCACAATTAATCCACACCACTCCAGTCCATCAATTAACAGCTTTTGCAGTAAAAAGCTGCATGTTTGCAATAAACAAATCAGCTGTTTAGACTCTAATTCTGACGACACCCATTCACTGCTGGATCCATTGCTGAGCAAGTGATGTAATGCTGAATTGTTCTGATTAAGAAAAAAAAACTCTCATTCATATTAGACAGCCTAAGAGTAGGTAAATTTGCAGCAGATTTCATTTCTGAACTATTCCTTTACATGTACAGAAAATGTCTTATGTTGAAATTGTGTTTTTGGTTTATTGTCTCATCTTTTTGTCTGAACTGTAGGTCTGCTGGGACCTATGACAGCCTCCATGACAGGACCATCCACCAACTCCCTTCTCAACGCTCTCAACAGCTCCATCAGTCCATTACAGACATCCACCTCTGGAACACCCAGCCCCAATCTCTGGCCCAACTCACTGGCCAGTCCTGCCAGCACTCCAGGTAAGGAGAAGACTGATAGACATCCACAAACAAACACACTCAGTATGGATTCTGCGTACCATATTTTCACACTTTAGTTCACACTTTAGTTATGTTGAAATAAAATAGAACTTGAACTTGAAAGTGATTTCTTTGATTGTGATAGGGTCTCAGTCCAATTTACATTCACATTGTTGTTATTTAGAACCCAGTCTATTTTATTTTATTTTATTTTATTTTATTTTATTTTATTTTATTTATATTATATTATATTATATTATATTATATTATATTATATTATATTATATTATATTATATTATACAAAATGTCTTTTTATTATACAATAGTAAGATACATCTTTCAAACCAAGCTCGATAACTGTTTTTTCTTAGGTTTCTCATCACCCTTGATGATCCACCCAGCCACCCAGGCCACTCTAACTAGCATCTTGCTGTCAGGGGTGCCAGGCTACACCCAGAACACTCCGTCCCCTCCGCCTGGTCTCGCCCCCATAGACGCCCAAGTCAACGGAGTATCAGACTGCAGTAAAGCCGTGTCCCCCCTTAGTAGCAAAGTGAGTCTTCTTTCACCATCATGAGATGATATATAGTTATGCTAAAAAGCTGTCCTTTATATCTCTCATAGTTAGTCTTCTTTGACTTTCCTTGACCAGAATATTGTGTGCATGTGTGTTGTGTAGCAACCCAGCACCATGTACAGCAGAATGTCTGCAGCGTCTCTGGCAGATAAAGTTCTGACCGCAGCTCATGGCAACTCTGTGCAGGAAGCCAGTCTCCACTGCCCTTCTGAACCGC